CCAGGCCCGGGCCACTCCGCCTTGCAGCGCCGGGAGCCCAGTGCCGGGCAGCGGCCACCGGCCGAGCCTGCAGAGCTGGGCAGGCCCCGGATCTCACCTTCCTGTCCGGTTGGCCAGCCCGCTCGCGGTCCCGGATGCTGCCACAGTCGGGGCTTCCGGCTCGGCCCGGAAGCGCGCGCGCCCCGCCTCGAAAGGTCCGCCTCCCGTGGTGACGTCAGGGCGCCTCCGCCAGCGGCGCGCGCCCCGGGTCGCACTCCGAACAGCTCCAGTTGGGATGCAGGAGGAGGCTGCGACGGCGTCTGGTCGGTGTGTCCCTCCAGGTGGCGGCCGCCGGGGTCTGGCCGCTCCACGTCTCCTCGGCCTTTCCCCGGTGTCTCGCTCGCGACTCTGATCTCCCCATCGCTCCTCGCCGCGGAGAGCCCTGCAGCGGCGGGGCGGTCCCCCACCCCGCCGTCGCGCCTCTGCACAGCCCCCGGTCGCCCTCTCGAGTGCCCATCCGAGTGGAGCGGCTACCTTCCAGCTCCTCAGTCTGGCCTCCCGGGAATCATCGGGACCCGGCTGGCGCCTGGGTCCCTGGCGTAGACGCGGACACAGACAGCTAGATAACGGCGGGGCCCCCGAAGACGGGGTAAGATGGCTGCTTGCCGCAGTGGGGGCTTCCCGGGCCTTGGGCCTTTGACACCTTCAATTGACCTGACTGCTTTGTCCCCACAGGCCGTCGAAACTCGAGACGTTGACCGGACATATTTGGAATATTTCGGAGGAATACTGTGAATTGCGGTGGCACCAGAGCCTCCAGCAAATTGAAATTTAAATCTTACCGTGGTAGGCACCACCATGACACTGAGGCTCTTAGAGGACTGGTGTAGGGGGATGGATATGAACCCTCGAAAAGCGCTGTTGATTGCCGGCATCCCCCAGACCTGTAATGTGGCAGAAATGGAGGAGGCTCTGCGGGCTGGTTTAGGTCCCTTGGGCGAGTACAGACTGCTCGGGAGGATGTTCCTGAGGGATGAAAACAGGAAGGTGGCCTTAATAGGGCTTACCGAGGAGACTAGTTATGCTCTGGTCCCTAAGGAGATACCTGGAAAAGGGGGCGTCTGGAGAGTGATCTTTAAGCCCCCTGACCCAGATAATGAATTTTTAAGACGATTAACGGAATTCTTAGAGGGTGAGGGTGTGACATTAGGTGAGTTGACCAGAGCCCTTGGGTATGGAAACGACCCTTTTGACCTAGACCAGGACATGGTCCCAGAAATACGGGCCCCTTTGTTGGCACAGGCATTAGATGAGGCTCTGCAGCCTGCCCTGCAGTACTTGAAATACAAAAAGCTGAGAATATTCTCAGGCAGTGATCCTCCAGAACCAAAAGAGGAAGAATTTGAACCTTGGCTGTTTCATACCACTCAAATGATGAATACGTGGCAGGTGTCAGATGCTGAAAAAAGAAGGCGATTGCTAGAGAGCCTTAGAGGCCCAGCATATGATATTATTCGTGTCCTCAAGATAAACAATCCTTTAATTACAGTCCCTGAATGCCTGCAGGCCCTTGAGCAGGTTTTCGGGGTTATTGATAATCCTAGGGAGTTGCAGGTCAAATATCTGACCACTTACCAGAAGGAAGAAGAAAAACTATCTGCTTATGTTCTAAGGCTGGAGCCTTTATTACAGAAACTGGTAGAGAGAGGAGCAATTGAGAGAGAAGTTGTGAATCAGGCCCGCCTAGACCAAGTCGTTGCTGGAGCAGTCCACAGAACACTGCGCAGAAAGGTTGCTCTGACAGAGGACGGCTTGGCCCCTGGCTTATTAGAGTTACTGGCACTGATAAGAGATGAAGAGGCAGCTGATGAGGAGGAGGAGGCCCTTCTCCAGGCAGGATTAGAGGGGCATTTCACCTGAATCTTAGGAAACCAGGAAGGGGTATTTGACAGCCGATCATGGAGGCAGAACAGTCAGTATACTCCAGTGATAGACTAACCAACTCCTACCTTGTGCCAGGTGGCTCATTCTTGTATAGTTCTCAGTATAAATTCATTGTCGTTTCTGTGCCAATTTAATGTCTCCTAAATGTGTCATTGATTAGGAAGGCTGTAGCTTTGCACTGGTATTTATATATTTAAATTCACCCGTGTGAATTTTTTGTCAAAATAATTGTACAAAGGTCTGTCACTGCACGTGTGTGATACTGTGAGAGGAAGGCAGGGGTCAGGTGTGTCTGCCGACCAGATCTTGTGGAGATGTCATATTGTGTGGTAACAGGTGCAAGTGTAGCGTTTCAGATGTGATAATGTATCATAGTTTTTAGGTGTGTATTGTCCTCTCTTTATCATGAAGATTGTGAGCAGTGCTTAAGATATTTTCTGTGAACCAGAATTTTATTGTTTCTGTGCAATCAAAACGAGGCAGAGTTAAATGCTGAGGGTGTGGACAGCTGCCATGTCTAATCCCAGGTTCCTAATTGTGTGTCATCAAAACATCTAGTTCTGAATGTCATTTTAATAGGTGTTGTAAAATTACAGGCATGAACTCATAAAATAAAGGAATGCTAATAAAATGACCTGTTTTATCTATTTGGTTTTTATCAAGTGGCCAAAGAGATTTCATTTGAACAAAGGGTTCTGAAAAACACTGAATTTACACGATCGTGATTCCTTGGACACTTCCCTCATGGTGCCCCGGGGTTAGGAAGTCGTTTTCTAAGTGAAATTGGCAGAGGGACCTATTAAAGCAACAAGCACACGGGATGAAACTACACAGATTAGTGCTCGTAGTAGGTGAGCGCATTGATCTGGAGGATGAAAGGAACGTATTAAACATTGCATACCTCTGTGTGGCAGACTGGACTAAATATTTTTCCATGTCATTTCTCAGTCCTCTTAAAAATCCTGCAATATAGGAATTGGCACACAAAGGTTACAAAAAACTCACCCAAGGTGAAACATCTTGTTTTTAACTGCCGGCCCCATGTTTTTTTCCACTGCCAAACAGAGACGCAGTCAACAAGGGTATCTACTCAACAGCCTCACAAGGGAAGCAGAGCTGATGTTAAACACATTTTATAAATATATCTTGTATGCATTATTCCAACTCATTACTGCAAACTAGGAACTATTAGAAGTAGGGAGTATGAGAACCTGTAAGGGGCAGCTGGCACTGTGGCATAGGTCAGTGATTCAGTCCTTACAAATGATAGGAAGAAAATAGAAGTTTAAAAATCATTGAAAGATAGGATAAAGTCATTACTTTTAATAATACCCAAGAGGACCAAAGTTGGGATGTATACCATTGGTTTAGTTTCAAAGGCATAGTAAAATGTTTCTGCTAAGACTAAATATCATTTCATTGTAAGTTCTTCCACTATAGAAAGCTTAGCCATAATTTTGTACACCTCGATACATGTAATTTTTATTTATCAATTATACCTCAATAAAATGAAAAAGCTAAGTACTAGATGATATATGGGCTCTGGATAAATTCAAAAGTATAACTCTGACCTCTATATGTATATTGTCATTTATGTGCCACCTTAGTAGTGGGAAGTGGTATCAGCTGCATTTTGCTGATACAGACATGGCGTGTACACAAGTGTTAAGTGTTACAGCTCTTCTAATATGTGAGGCACTCAGCTGGGGTATGTAGTTAAATTTAAGTTATAATCCCTGCCATGGAGGTCTATTCAGAGTCAGTGATAGCTGACACAGCACTTGCCAGGGGCCAGGCACTGAGCACCACTGAACGCATTTTGTACCATTTTACAGATGAAACAGGCACAGAGAAGTGACTCGCCCAGGGTTTCTCAGCTAATGAGTGACAGGGCTAAGATTTACACCCAGGCAGATTATTACCATAGTCTTTGAGCTTAATCTATTCAGAGCTGCCATGTTAAATTCTCAGAAGCCTGTGAGAAACACCATTGCAATTGCCCCTGTTTTATAGATGAAAGGCTTGAGGCTCAAAAAGCCTCGAAGGCAAGGACAAGCGCACATAGTCTGACTCCCTAGATCTTTTCTTAAAGTGCTCTGACATAGGCATCTGGTTAAGACTGCATCATTGTCAAAAATGACAATGTTAAGTTTATGAAATCATGTGAAATAATAAATGTATGTTCTTGCCAAGCTATGTTACAACATGAACAGCGAAACACTAAAATGTATAACTAGTGTTGGGATGATGGGATCATAAGGATAATTTATTTTTTTGTTATTATTTCCTAAATGTGTTTTTTAAATGAAAATAAAAATACAAAGGAAGTGCTCAAAAAGGCAGAGGAAACTGGTATATCAAAGACATACGGGAACCAGCCTGAAAGAGCTCCCACTGGCAAAAGCTACAACAATTCGAGCAACGAAATGAACAGTTCAGTGTTGGATTGTAATCCAAAGTATAAGATAAATGTCCATGAGTTCATGCTGATAAAATAAATGAATGAATAAATAACTATGGGAGAAGAGTCAAATTTTCCTTACAGAAGAATTTCAAATCCTTTATGTGGATACTGCCGTTCTCAGGAGGTGGAATTTATTCCCTTCCCTGCTTAAGTGTGAGCTGCATTTAGGAATAGAGTATAGAAAGGAAAAATAGTAACTCTTAAGTAGACAAACCTTGGCTAGGCTCAAGGTCGGTCATGTGGACAGCATGTACCCCTGATATGATGTGATAACGAGGGCAGTTCACCTCTGTGGTATTCTTCCTCAAAATCCATAACCCAGTCTCATCGTGAGAAAAACACCAGACAAACCCAAATCGAGGGATGTTCTACAAAATACCTGACCAATACTCGTTGAAACTGTCAATATCATTAAAAAAAAAAAAAAAAGACTGAGAAGCGGTCACAGACCAGAGGGGACTAAGGACACAAGGCAACTAAATGCAATGTATTCTGGAAGGGATTCTGGAACAGATGAAGGACATCAGTGGGAAAGTGGAATCCAAATATAGTCTGGACTTCAGTTGATAGTAATATATCAATATGGTTTTCTTGTAGATGACAAAGGTACCGTGGTAATGTAAGAGATTAATAAGGGAAACCAGATGAGTATACCAGAATTCTCTGTACTATCTTTGTAACTTTTCTATAAGTCTAAAATTATTCTAAAATAAAATATTCATTGAAATAGATACATACATGCACACGCACGGAAATAACCAATGACCCGAGATGCCAGCGGATGAAATAAGTGACTAGGGAGTAAATAACTGGAGAGCACCCCCTTTCTTAAAAATGGCAATTCGTCTAAACACCACTAGGTGGCAGTAGGCGCTCAGGTTAGGCCTCGGCTCGGCCATACGCAGGGAAAAGGATTATCACATATGAAAGTGGCGTCATACCTGCCCCCCATCAAAGACTGGAAAATTTCTCACACTTTATGTGGAAAAATAAGCACTTGCTCAATGCAAGACAGTGACTTCCTCTCTAGGTCCATGACACTTCTAGAATCATCTAATTAGCTTGTCAGGGAGGCCTGGCCTTGGCAAATGGACTGATCCATCGACGCAAGCGAGCACATTTATAGCAATTTCACTCCACTCCCAGCCAGAGCGTCTTATAACAATGATTTTAGAGGTCAACCTCTGAAAGTTTCTTATTTCAAAGAAACGACATTTAGGTCAAAAGTACGCTTTAGCCATCATGGGTTTCCTACCCTCTCCAGCCTCTGCTAGCAGCAAACCTAACTCCGCTTTTAGAGGTGTTGATTTTCTTATGCACGTGTGTTACCATATAAACTGGAACAGTATATGAAATAATTTAATTCAATGTAAAATAGGACCGTAAGGCTCTTAGTCACCCCCCTAGGGGAGGACTGGGAGTCAGAAGGCTAGGGTCTAACAGAACAGAATATTGCAGATGAGGTAAGTGAGGCTCAGAGAAGGTGAGCGACTTCTCAAGGACACACAGCTAGTTAGTGACAAAGCAAAACTTGAACCCAAATTTGAGCCTGCCTCTGGCTCGCTCTGTGACCTGATGTAAGGGCACTTAATTCCTCTTGGACTTCAGTTTACTCATCCATAAAATCTACGGTCCCTTTTAGCTCGAAAACTATGTGACTCAGAAGATCTTCCATCTTTATATGAATATCCTTAATTTAAAAAACTGACTCTAAGTTCTTAACATGCTTAATATTTGTTACTCAACATGTATCCCCAAATATTATCAGGCCATCTTTTAATGAGTGTGCTTTCTAACTCTCTAACTAGATTCTATGTTTCCCTTGATATCAAGGTGTATTATATCTCCATACAAACCCGACATGGTGTTTCACACTTGCAAGGTAATAAATATTTCTTAGCTAATTAGTAGTGCTCCAATGTGCCTTAGTACATATAATAATAATCTGACCGTCATTTCTTAAGCTCTTCCTATGTGCCAGGCAGGTTGCTAAATGCTTTACATATATTACCTCATTTAATTTTAACTACAACCTTTGTATGTATATTACTATCCCTAATTTCAAGCGAAGAAACAGAACTTTGGAAAGGGGAAGTGACTTGTCTGGAGTTGCACAGCTAGAAGGTACCGAGATCTCTCAGGTTCCAAAGCCAACTCCTTCGCCACTGTGCCAGACAGCCTCCAAGAGTATCTTGGCTCTGAACCCAACTGGCACCACTTCAAGAATGGATAGGAGTATGTGAATATAATCATTAGCGAACCCGTTTCTGACCATATAACCTGAAACCCTATCACCACTCCCCGATGTCTCCTTCCAAAATTTAATAATAATACAATCCAGATTACACTGCCATAGGGACAACACTGCCCCCACCCAGCAACCATGAGCCCTCTTTCTCCTTGGTATCTAAAGCCAGATTTGTTCACCCACTTTACAGAACTGTGAATTTCAGAGAACCCAGCCTTCCCCTAGCCCCTGCAGGAAGTGAGGGTGGCAACTCGATTAGTTTAAGGTGATCCCGTACTCTGCCAAACTACTTGTTCGAGGCATGGGCAAAGTATGCAATTCTATCCGGTGAAACATGAGCGGCTATTTTTTTTTTTTTTTAATCTTTATTTATGGGAGCATGACTCTGCTGCCAGAATGCCTCAATTCAAATTCCAGCCTCACCATTTTCGAACTCTGTGACTTGGGACAAGTTTATTAACCCTTCCTGGGCTTCGGTTTCCGCAACTGAACATGGAGATAATGACACTTCCTCGTAAGGTCACTGTGAAGACAGAATGAATGAATAATGTAAAGTGCTGAGAACTGTACCCGCTACTAGTAAGTGCTCAACCAACGGCGATTGCGTTTGTTCTCTATTGATGCACAGCAGATAACCCCTAAATCTAGTGACTGAAAACAAATAGCCATTATCTCTCAGTGTCTGTGGATCAAGAATGGGGGGAGGGTCTTCCCTGGGAGTTTCTGGCCCGCTGACAGACTGCCTCCGAGGTGCTGGCCAGCGCTGCCTCTCGGGAAATAGTCCAAGCTCACACGCAGGGGCCTCTCCACGCGGCTGCCTCATGATGGGCCGCTGATTTCCATCGGAAGCAAGCAATCCAAGAGAGGGTGAGAGAACACCCCAAACGGAAGCCACAGTCTTTTTATAATCTTATCTCAAAAG